CAACATCTCTCCATTCTCTCACAGCTACCACAGATTGTAAGCAGAAGAAATAAAGGCCTTTTATTCCCCCTTCGCTCATTGTCACTCTCTGTTCTTTCTTTAGATCCAGGGCAAAAATCCCAACAACATTTAATAAGTTCATCTCTGATGCTAGCACAGACTAAAGCCAAGCAATTAAACTGATCGAATATTCTGAATTTTGGGGGTGCCTTACTTTTTTTTATCCCTTTTTTCAGCAAAGGGCTGTGCTTATGTCCGTATAGAAAATGGAAGAATGACTGAAAATTTGGAATATTACAGACCATTTCCAAAATGGGAGGGACAAACAATTGACTTTCGTTGTGATCATGGTTTTGTGCCTGCGAACAAGCAAACATGGCAAAGGGCTACATGCATCAATTCCCGCTATGTCCCAGAACCAAAGTGTTTCAGTAAGTAACTGTTTCCCTTTGCAGTAGATGTTGCCAAGTATAAACAGAACAGGCCAGGGAGATGCTATCCTGACCTTGCTTTAACCTTGAAGAAGTAGCATCCTATAGAGAGTTCAGCCTGTTCTCGGGTTGCTCTGCCTGCTAGGGTGATGCTTCCACTGATGTCTCTTCTCAAGGGACCCTAAAGGTTGTTTTGGAGCCCACAGTTTGCAAACCTTAAATGTGGGGAGGTAAAAGGTTAGTCTTTGATAAAATATAAACAGAAAAATAGGATTCTTCCTCATCAGCTTCTCTTCACACCTTGTCTTCTCTGTGAACTAGATATCATTTGTAGTATAAATTGCCTTCCAAGAACCATCAATGATGGAACTAAGTTGCTCTTTTTTGCTTTTAGAAATATGTGATCCTTTTATACGTTTTGATCATGGTCACTTCATTACTACATATTATCACCATTACTACATATTAGAAGGTAACAACATTACATTTGTTTGTGATACGGGATATTTTCCTGCAAACCAACGATCAATAATTACTTGCACCAAAAAGGGGTGGTCACCTGCTCCAGAATGTATCCAGACAGGTAAGTTTTAGGAATGTCAGCTAAAATTGCCTGACCTGAAATTGCTTATCATGCTTTGCTCTCTCTCCCTCCCTCTCTCCCTCCCTCCCTCTCTCTCTCTCTCTCTCTCTGTATGGATAGTGTTGAAAGTAGTATTTCACAATGGATTTATAATTGAAAGTTTGTGATAATTTAGCAGCAGAGATGATAAGAGATTCATATTTCCACAGGGAATTGTGCTGTGACTGGGGGTTAAGTTATGTATAGATGTTTATGGATGTGCATATTGTTGTACCTATCATTTACTTATTAAACTTAATGCCTTCTATTACTTAGGTGTATTGAATATTTGCAATACAAAGGTAACTTTTGATTTGAAGAAAAATATTTCAGATGAAGTTTGTTAACATTTAAAAATGGTTTTCATTATATTTATTATTTTTAAATTGAGAGTGATGTGTTTTGATGTGCAAAGGGGATTTAGGCTTTTCTCCAATGAAGATCTGAGGCCCAGCATCAATGGTATTGGGCAGTATACAAATATAAAAATAAATGAATAAATGGCAATTATTAAGGAACAGTAAAATAAAGAAAAGTAACATCAAAATTACATGATAATATCTTTTAATATATATTTTGCAACTAAAACAATTCACTGCATATGATACATTTTTAAAATTTCAATAGGTGTGTGTATGAATGATAGCATTTGCATAAAAAGAATTAGGTCTGTGCTCCAAATACTTTCACAATTGTATAATGCTTCAGAAGTTTTAAAATAGGACAATCCTCTAATTGTTGTCAGTGAAGTTGTATTGTGTCTAAAGATTGAATTATGGCAACTGGACCAAACTTTGTTAATCTGAGACATTTAGTTGCTCATCCAAGCAACTTCATTAGTCAAAGCAAAATTAGTTAGGCAGAGAGAGGCATTGCAATGTAACAACTTCAGGGATTTCCCCCTAAAATGCATTGCAATATGTCAATGAAGACTCAATCATCCAGGCCAAAGGTGTCTAAAGGTTTGGCCTTCCTTTTCCATTAGTAGTTTAAACCTTTAGATACTTTTGGCTTGGATGACTGAGTCTTCATTGACAGTGAAGTTGTAACATAGCATTCTACTAACTTACATAACTTGTTCTGCTCTCACAAATATTGCAATGTATCATGTTATTTCTTTTATTGTACGTGTCGCTATGCATAGCTGAAATATATCCTTACAGATTTAGGGATTGAAAACCCCAATCCATATGTGATTTCCTTTGAGATGGGGCACTGTAACACCATCTAGAATAGAATGTAGTGCTGGAGTTTTCCAAACTCTCCTTGACCATCCCCATCTTTCCGGGATTCAGCTATAATTTATTATTCTTCATTTATCCTTTCATAGCAATTTCAAGAGATCTTGCAAATTAATAAATTTGAGTGCCCACAGCATCTTAAAAGGATTAAACTGCAAATCTCTTGTTGTCGCCCATTAAACTCCAAAGGATTTGGACCAGGATAATAGGACGTTCAAAACACAAGTGAAAATCTTCAGCCCATGATCCACATGTAGCAATTCCAGTACAGACTCAGATCAGGCCACTAAAATATGGAATACATGTAGCTTATATAGCAGTATAATTCATTGTATATAATTAAAGGACAAATTAGATGCCTTCGGTTTCCATAAGAAAGACAGACGTGAAACTGTCTAATCAGTTACATTAATTTCCCCACTCAATCTGCCTATGGATTTTCCAACGTATTGTATGCATATTTTCTTAGCAGCCTCTTAGCCCATTTATTCATGATTTTGAAAGGAGGCAAGTTTCCTCTGGCTCCACTGGTTTCCCAGGTATTTTACAAAGAGTTCACATTTTATAAACAGAAGAAGCCACATTTTATACTTTCTTTTTCCATTGGCAGTTGAACGCACCTGTAAGATGATTTCTGTATCCAATGGATATTTTGAATCGGATCAACAGAGTTTTCAGATCAATGCTAAAGCAAAATATAATTGTCATAATGGCTATTCAACATCAAAAGGAGAGACTCAGGCAGAGACACAGTGCCTTACAGAGGGCTGGAGCCCAGAGCCAGAATGTATCAGTAAGTAAATACAATTCCATTGGAAGATAGATTGAAACAAACTGGCATAGACAAAGACATGGGATCTTATTCAGTGAAGAATAGCCTCATATCATAACCATTTGTAAATGTATCTCTTCAAGAAGTCTAACTATAGGCTTATAGTATAAATTATTATTTTTGTTCATTATTTGAAAAAAGTAACCTGCAACCTAAAATATATGTACACTTTTATTGTAAACATCAAATTTGCATTTTATTTCCTGTACTCCCAGGAGCTGATGCCATAAATATCTTATAGATGCAAACAGAAAACATATATTATGGAGTTTGCATTTACAGAGAGAGTCAAATGGCAAGAAAACTTGTTGAGCATCTGCCATGTTCTCTACACAATATATAATAAGGACAAAATTCACTTCAGATTCAAAAGCAAAAACTGCTGAAAGACACAAAGTGATCACATAGCAACTGTTTGCAGTATAGGTAGCCACAATCTGAAAAACTATGTATATGTGTTCAGATGCTAGAATCATGAAAGGGTCAGTGAAACAGTCTGCAAGACCAAATGTGACCCAATGACCTGGTTAAAAACCAATTAACCATATTTGCCAAAATCACTAGCATGAACCAGTGAGAGCTTATTTATAGCAACTCATCATTTGCTTCATGCACATACCTATACCTAAGAGGTCATTCTTCAGTGAGAATTGTAGAGCTTACAACTTAGACTCATGAGAAAAGACACAGTGAGACACTAATAATATCCACTCTTTGATTCCACAGAGACATGCTTAAAACCACCTGGAGGTGATTTTATCTTCAACACAACTAAGTCTGTTTTCTTTCCTGGAGACAAACTTCACTATGAATGTAAAGAGGGGTTTCAAATCACAAACAATACCATCGATGACACAGTAACGTGCACCGAGAAAGGATGGGAATTTACTCCTAGCTGTGTGTGTAAGTTAGTGAAACACCAGTATAATCATCCAATTGTCTAAATCAGTTCATCAAGAATATTTTCCTGATGATTTCCGTAATGTTGCATTTATGCTTAGATATACTTAAAAGTATTGTAATCCTAAATTATTTTCCAGAAATTGGCTTTTCAAATAAAAACTAAAAAAAGTAGAATAATTAAATCATGTATTTAATTTTCTCCCATTTGTTCTTCCAGTAATTTCTAAATATTAGCTATAACTTTCTCAATAATCTATTTATCATATATTCACATAATATAAATATAAAGGATAACTATATCTCATTATGATCATCCATCCATAGTTTATGTCTGGGAGAGCTGGTTTAATGATATTGGACTAAATGCAGGGAAATCCAGTTTTAAGTCTTCCCCTCAATTCAGAAAGCAGCTGGGTGACCTTTGACAAATAAGCATCAAAAATAAAAAATAAAATTCCTTATCTCATTGTGCATTGACAGCTTTACTGTGTGACTAGGCAAGCACAGTGCAAAAACTGTGTTTTTAGTGTTGCAGTAAGCAACACTAGGAAATATCCTAAGAAGGAAAACATCACCAATAATAACAGCACACAGTCCCCCACTGTATAGGGAGGCCAAGGGGCAGAGCAGCTGGCTCTATTTCCCAAACACAAGGTTATCTGAAGCTGTGTGCAACAACTTTTACAACCATCTTTCCAAAGCAAAGTTAAATACTGGACTAAAATTGTCCAGGATTAAGCAGTGACTAAATACAATCTACTCCGAATGTAAGTCCTACCTTGATTTTTACACGTGTGCCCAATATAAGACCTACCCCAAAATAAGCCTTAATTAAGGACCCCCCCACTCCACGGTACGCCGGTAAAAATTAAGCTAGGGTGGGGATGGTGTGGGGTAGAGCTGGCCTACTACTTAATTTTCAGACAGTTGCAGCCCGGCCTCACACACCCCAACACCTGCCTTGCCAGCCCATTTCTTCTGCAGTTGGCAAGGCCGGCAAGGTTTTCCAGAAGGCTTCTACAGCCAATAACAGAGCTCCCAATTGATCCAGAGCTCTGTTATCAACTGCAGAGGCCTTCAGGAAAGCCTTGTCAGCCACAGAAGAAGTTCCTGAAGGCTCCTGACAGCGAAAAGGAGGCTGAGGGTGACCCATGCAAGTGAGGTGAGTCAGTGGACGACAACCCCTAAAAATAAAATCTGGTCACTTTTCTGGTGGAAAAAAAAATAAGACAGGGTCTTATTTTCAGGGAAACATGGAGTAGTAGAACTCATATTGCACTTAAGAAATATAAAATCATGTTTATTTTATATATAAACATAAGTGTCCCAAACTTTCTGGCAAGTAGTTTCATTCTGAAATAACCTTATTCTATTTTATTCAACATTTGTATAGCCGTAGTATGTAAGACTCCAGTTTTGGAAAATGGCACAATTAATCCAAGAGAGAACATATTTCAGTATAATATGGTGGTACGTTTTAACTGCAACAAAGGATTCACAAGAGTTGGCTCTGAATCTGCACAATGTTATCACTTTGGATGGTCTCCACAGCCTCCAATATGTAAAGGTAAAAATAGGCAATTTAAGAATTCTTACTGTATTTGAGGCGGGAACAGGGAAATTAGGAGCAGATTTTTCTAAAAGTATGTTTTGTTTTCTAGAGGAAAGCTAATCAGTGGCCAGTAAACAGATTTCTCTTAGCAGGATGCATTGAATGGGACTCTCACATCTTCATTTATATATATGCAACATACAGCAGAACTGTATTCTTAAATTGTGAATAGAAAATGTTTATATGAATAGTAATATTGTTTTTCAGGTTTTTTATATATTTTTGAGGCAACAGGATTATTTCTTTTTGCTCTTTCCTTTCTAAATGGATTTCATCACTTGGAAACCTGACATTTATATTAATAGGACCTTTGAGTGTACTTTTAACATAACCAAGCACAAAAAGAAGTCAGTTAGCAGAATTACAAATCTATTGTAATATTAAACCAACCACCTACTGTGTTTCCCCCAAAATAAGACAGGGTCTTATATTTTTTGGACTGGCAGAAAAGGCACCAGGTCTTAGTTTCTGAGAGGTCTTATATTTTTCCCTATTTTTCCCCAACTGGGAAAGTTGGGGGCAGAGAGCTTCCCCTCCTGCTTAGTGCCTCCATGGCTTCACTAAACAGCTGATCTGCACTGCTTTCAGTACCTGAACATCCTCCGCAAAACAGATGATCTGAACCTGCATGTCTTGTCTAAATAGCATTTTCCTGCCAAGCCTTCAGTGTTGCAATCCCTGGATATGCTGAAGGCTTGAGGGGGAGCCTTTTTAGTGATCGGCAGGAAAGTGGTCCTCCTTTTCTTAAGCTCAGCACAGACTGAGAAAAAGAGGCAATGGTGGGATGCTGCCAGTGTAACAACCAGTTCATTGATCGTGCAATTCCCAGGACTGCAACGCTAAATGCTTGGCAGGAAAATGGGGAGGGAGGTTTTCCCACCTGTCCTCCTTTTCTCAGTCTGTGATGAGCTTAAGAAAAGGCTTTATGCATCTTTTTGAGAGTAAAGGAGGAAATGAGTAACAGGTAACAACAGTAGACACAAAAATCTACTTATTTATGCTTTCAAAGTTATTTCTAATATATATTTTTGGACACCAGATCTATATTGACATTTTAAACAAACATTATCTACTACTGTTTCACTGCTTTGGTTCCTGAGGCTGTTGTAATAGTTGCAATAGATATAAAAATAATAATATTCAAGCATATCAGCCTGGGATTTGAGTAAACACTCAAAATAAAAGTGATATTCTCTTTTTTCTAGAAAATGTTAAACCTTGTCCGGCATTACCCATCATTTCACATGGCAGAGTTACTGGTGAATCTAAAGCAGTATTTCAGCATGGTGATCTATTGGAAGTTCATTGTGAGATCTCATTTGCACTATATGGATCAAAAATCATAGAGTGTGTGGATGGTGAATGGGCACCCTTACCCTCATGCGTAGGTAAGCAGCAGCTTCCTGAAAAATGTGTTCACAAAAAGAAATATGAGCAGACAGACTTGTAAATGTAACATGGTAGTTTCTTGCACTTATCTGGTGGAGGGGAGGGGGTTGTTGCATGGTGTGTAAACTGGAATCTTCCTTCATAACAGAGTCCAATACATTATTAGTAGAGAGTGGAAGGGGTGAGATTACTTTGCAGTGTTTAAGTAATAAAGTTATAGAGAAATCAATGTATTCTGATTTATCCTAATAATGTCATGAGTCATGAATATATTCCTGTGCTTAGTGCTAATACCTGAGTCTTTGTTGCTTGCAACAGGAAGTAAAAAATTGAGAACTGTCCTTCTCTTTGTAGCATTTCCATGGCTCCATCAGAACAAATGGTAGAATAAGACGTTGCTAGAGATAACATATTCGGAAAATTTGGAACAAAGTATTGGAAATAAAATTAATGTGAGCTTAACGTAGCTTCTGTAAATGGTTCACCAATTCATGTTAAAAATACCATTATAGGTTTTGAGACTTGCACATTTTGCAATAGTGCAAATTAAATAATAACTTGACAAAAAATTGCAGCAAGTAATTCAAATACTTAGCAATTAAAATATTTAAGTCATGGTAATCAAGTACAAATTGAGAGTTAGCTGGAATGTGGATGTTCCTAGGTATTTGCCTCCTTCGTTTGACCAGAACTTTCTGTCAGAGATATTAAAGGCCTTTAACAGAACTGAAAAAAATGAAAACAGTCTCTATTTTATTTTTATTGGTTGATTGATTAATAATGGAGTTACAATGGGTATATGAAACAGAGGGGCAAATTGTTTGAAGAAGCTAAACTATTAATACCTTTATGTAATAATTCCTTTTTCGGTTGCTTTCAACAGAGGAAGTAAGAACTTGTAGACCACCTCCAACAATTAAAAATGGATATTTTGTGAATGGTGAGTCATCCACATACAGACATGGTGACACCGTGGAATACAGATGCCAAAAAAAAAATATCATTATTGGGACCAACCCAGCCAAGTGTCTTCATGGGCAGTGGGAAATACCATCATGTGTTGGTAAGCTAGAGGCTGAACCTTCAGAAATGAATTTTAGGCTTGTCTTGGAATATATCAGTATTTATTATTGACATGATTGCTCCAAAATGTGACTCAGTGGAATAACAATGGAAATTGCTGCTAGGAGGTATAGGTTAGATTGAATTGGTTTATGCTAGTATGGTTCATAGGCACCTTATTTTTCCTGTCTGATCCCGATTTAAAGGAGATTTTCACAGGGTCTATGAAAAAGAAAGATTTTAGTGTTTTCAAAAATGATTCAATGCCAAATATAATCCTGGTGGGATTATGTCTTTACCCTTAGACAAGAAAAATCAAATGAATAGGTATAGAATAGGTGGCATGTAGCTCAACAGCAGTAACTTTAAGAGGGATCTAGGAATCTCAGTGGACAACTACTTAAATATGAGCCAGCAGTGTGCTGCAGCTGCCAAAAAAGCCAATGAAGTTCTAGGCTATATCAACAGAGGAATATTATCAAGGTCACATGAAGTATTGCTACTGCTTTATACTGCTTTGGTAAGACCACATTTGGAATACTGCATCCAGTTTTGTTACCATGATAAAAAAAAGATGTTGAGACTCTAAAAATGATGTAGAAAAGAGTAGCAAAAATGATTAGGGGGCTGAAAGGTTAAAACATATGATGAACGGATGCAGGAACTGGCCATGTCTAATCTAACAAAGAGAAGGACTAGGATTGACATGACAGGAGTGTCCCAATATTTGAGGGACTGTCACAGAAAAGAGGAGTCAACCTATATTTTTCATTTTTTTTAGTGAACAGTTTTCAAGACAGTCTACCATAGATTAAGATTCCTGTGTTCCTCACAATAGGGGAGATCTATAACTGGTAGCCTTGAAATTGAGAGTGGGAACAGAAAGGAAAGGGATACGATTATCCAGGTTTATTGATTTATTGGTTTGTTTGTTTATCAATCCAACCTGTATGCCACCCACCTCATTAAAGGCAACTCTCTGCCTTATCTATGTTTAATTTGAGGAGCACATCAAATCTAATGTCCTGTATAGCAGAGTAGAAAGAGATGTCTATCATCTGTCAATCAGAGTAGATAACAGGGTCTCCCCAAGCATGTGCATCCTCCTGGCCCCGCCACAGCTGGCCAGGAGGTTGTGAGAGGAGAAGGAGGGGGAGGAGGAGGAGAGTTGCTCGAAGGGAAGCCTCTGCTGCAACTAGCGATCATTTCTCAGCCAGCCTGGATTTCCAAAATGAAGAAAGAAAAGGAATAGCCAACAGCCTGAAAGAGAGCTTGCTGGCTTGGCCCAGCCATGGCCTTCCGACACACACACACACACACACACACACACACACACACACACACACACA